CCTCACTGTCGCCTGGTAAAAGCTCACTTCCAACACATCCATCAGCGTGCAGCCTCAAGGCTCCAGGGAGGGAGAGGGGCGGACAAGTGTGAACCAATTTCCTGGGCCCAGGAAAAGAACCATCAGGCCAGGATGGGAAAAATGACTTCAAGTCTTTTCTGTCCCTCACTACTTGAGTCTGACTTACAGTAAGCTCAGTTGGTATGTTACCTTACCGTTTCAGACTCAATATTCATCCTCAGTTTCTAGTTCTTAAATTCCTGGGGGATTGCATCCCACCTTTAACCATCAAAATGTCATTAAGTGGGGCTGGGAAGGTGCTCAGTGGTAAAGTGCTTGCCTTGCATGAATGAGGCCCTGGGTTTGATTCCCCAGCACCACATAAGCAGAAAAAAGCCAGATGTGGTGCTGTGGCTCAAGTGGTAGCCTTGAGCTGAAGAACTGAGGGACAGTGCCTAAGCCCAGAGTTCAGGCCCCAGGATGGAAAAAAAAATGTCATTAAGTGTGACCCCATTCTCTCCCTTCTCTCCCCATTTTGAGTCTTTCTCTGAATGCTCTGTGTGGAGGTAGGGAGGTGGGGGAGGGTATGTGTGTGTGTGTGTGTGTGTGTGTGTGTGTGTGTGCGCGCGCGCACACGCGCGAGCGCGCGCGCTCCAGTCCTGGGACTTAAACTGAGGACCTGAACTCTATTGCTGAGCTTTTTTACTTGCTCAAGGCTAGAACTCTATCACTTGAGCCATAGCTCCACTTCTTTTGGGGGGGGAGGGGGGTATTTATTTATTTATTTATTTAGTGGTTAATTAGACTTAAGAGTCTTGTGGACTTTCCTGCTTGGACTAGCTTCCAACAGCAGTCCTCAGATCTCAACCTCCTGAGTAGCTAGGATTACAAGAGTGATGGGGCTGGGAAGGTGGCTCAGTGGTAGAGCGCTTGCCTAGCAAGCCTGAGGCCCTGGGTTCGATTCCTCAGCACCATATAAGCAAAAAAGAAAAAAGCCGGAAGTGGCGCTGTGGCTCAAGTGGTAGAGTGCTAGTCTTGAGTTGAAGAGCCAAGGGACAGTGCCCAGGCCCAGAGTTCAGGCCCCACAACCGGACCCCCCCCCAAAAAAAAGAATGAGCCACCAACAAGTAGAATGAAAAACTTTTTAAATATTTTAAGCATTTATTTTGAGAATTAGAGCTGCTCTTCTTCTCCCAAAGGAATAGCACTCTGTTGCTATCTCTACCACCATGTGACATTTCAACTTGGGAACATATGCAGAAGAAATGAAACCTGTAATCTTCAATACTGTAAGAGGAAAAGATAATTTTAAAATCAACTTTAAATTTGAAATTTTAATTATTATTTCATCATTTCTACTGTTATTTTATATTTGCTATTAAAGCTTTACAATCTGAAAAATCATTGTCCCCATTAAGACTAGATGAGTTTCAACTGATGCTTTTGACAATTATAACTTATAGACGAATACTGTGATTTTACCTACTCGGGAGACTGAGATATGAAGACCTTGGTTTGAAGCCAGCCAAGCAGAAAAGTCTATGAGGCTCTTATCTCCAATTAACTACCAAAAAGCTGGAAGGGGTAGTGTGGCTCAAGTCATAGAGAGACAACCTTGATGGGGGAAAAAAAAAAAAAAACAGAAAACAAGCCAAGACTGTAAGGACCTGAGTTCAAGCCCTAGTACCAGCACCAACACAGAAAGAATTTATAGAAGAAAGCAAGAGTCCATGTGGGAACTGACCTACCTCTCTGTTCATTTATTTGGAATGGAGGAAACCCAATAGGATTTTTCACTGGGGACTTTGGCTTCATTTTCAACAGTGGGTAGTTAACATTCACTAGTTAGCTGCATAAACGTGATGGAATATAACCAGGTATTGTGGTGCAGGCCTTATAGTCTCAGTACTGTAACACAGGCAGAGGCAAAAGAATTGTGAGTTCAAGGCTAGCCAAGGATATAGAATGAGGTCCTGTCTAAAACAATAAGCAAAAACAGAAAAATAAAATAACACCACAAGATAAACTAAACCAAAAGAAGGGAAGTAGCTGAATGGATAACTAACTATAAACATCAACATTCACAGAATGGTTATTATGCTCTGTGTATACAGTGCTGTTATGAATACTATATACATATATTATTTAACCTTCCAAAATGCAGATACTATTATTTATGAATGACAGCCCTGAGATGCAGATAAATGAGCCACAAGGGTCACACCATGGTTATACGCAAGAGCCCAGATTCACTGCTAGAGAACTGGTCTCCAGAGTTTGCAATACCACACTTTAGTGCCAAAACGAGTTGTTACAACTTCGCTCATCTTCCCCAGATGGCATAGTGGGTTTTCAGGAAAGGGGACAGATGAGAATGGATAAAGACAAAAGACACACAAGTGACATGTATAAAACTGCTCAGTGAGACATACAGGAAAAGATCTTTTGTGTGTCTGGCCTGGACAAAGCCACCCACTTCTACTGGAAGTTTCTACACCCTTGATGATGATGACTGACTGAAAGGAAGGGTGATAGAACCAGGAATCAGAGAAAGACATACTCAGAAAGCAGGTGCGCAGTCCCATGCATTTCAGGAAAGTTAGTCGGCCATGCTACTTAAGGCTCAAGAAGTAATGGATGGATGATGGTAGAATTAACTTGGTTTTAGCATTCACCCAGTAAAGCATCTCTGGTCTAACAAGTCCCAGTTCCCGACTGCCTGGGGAAGGCGCTGAATTCCAGGCCTGGCTAGGGGTGACGAAGATTGACCCACTCATCTTAGCAAGCACCTGTTATGATGAGACAATATTGGTGTTGAAAGTCTTAGCTTGGAGCATCTTTCCTGCATTTCTTGGTGCTGGACATCAGAAGCTAAATTTCATCGCCCTCAGTGAACAGATTTCTCAGTCCACTAAAGCAAACAAACTATCTGTGTTGGATAGTTTGTGGAAGAAATTCTGGCCCAGGCTCCCTGCTGTCTTCTTAGGACCAAAATCTAGGACTGTGACTTTCCTAGCCCAATGACAGTGTTAGACATCATAATTAAAATTTGCCCACATTCTCTTTTTCTGAGAATAGAGAATTCGCCTCATGCTCAGAAATGACCTAATGTTTCATCTTTGACATTTCAGAATAATTTTCAAGGATTTCTATTAAGTCACAGAATGGAAAGGGAAAAAGAGGACAATCAATTCATTACATACTATCCTTTTTCTGTTCCTTTATCTCAGGGTGGTCTGTGTTTTTTTTAATGTACAGAGGAACAATAATTATTTGTTTGAAGGCTGTTATCAAGACTCTAAATCTAAATACATAATTTGTCATCCCAGAGGTTAATGATCTGTCTACTTGTAGATTTATAGAGACATCTACATAGAAAACTGACACCAAACAGAGTTTTTGTGTTTTTTTTAAAGAGTCTAGTTTGTCTTACACTGCACCCAATAATTCAAAGCTATTCAGAGTATTTTCCTGAGTCAGGAACCTGTGAAATGAAAATGTCACACTGTCAGCAAGAACGATGAACAAGATCAATACAAATTGCAACAGTTGGCGAGGTGCTGGGGACATTCATTTAGCATTCCATGTCTGCAAAAAAAGACCACATTTTCATAGAACTTTCCAGTATTTTATTGGGGGAGATCTTGTGATTTTGTTACAGGGTGCGTAGCCCAGCTAGCACCAGGACCTAAAGCCATAAGATTCTACTTAAAGGGGGCTTTAAGACCAGGCTTCTGATAGTTCTTTATATTGAGTTTCCTTTTTTTTTTTTTTGGTTGAGTATGTGAGGCAATGTATAAAACTGTTGAATGCCTGAATAATTTTCAATGCATCAAGATGCAAGGCTGGTTTGAGAGACCCTGACATTGAAAGAATCATGATTTGCCCATGCGTACATTTATATTGACTTCTCTACAGAAAACACAGACAAGGAGGAGACATTTTTTGAGATCTATCTGTCTTGTGTTGTAGTCAACAATTCAGAATATTAAAACCAAAATCAAAGCCGGGCATTGATGGCTCATACCTGTAATCCTACCTACTTAGCAGGCTGAGATCTGAGGATCACAGTTCAAAGCCAATCTGGGAGAATAAAGTCTGAGAGACTCTTCAATTAAATACCAACAAGCAGTGGCTCAAGTGGTAGAGTTCTAGCCTTGAGCACAAAAGCTCAAAGACAGTGCCCAGGCCCTGAGTTCAACCTGAATTCAAGCTCTAGGACTAGCGCACACACACTCGTGCACACACAGGCACACACCCACACACCCCCACATACACCCTGAGATCTGAAGCCTGGCAACAATGGCTCACATCTGCATTCTTAGCCACATGGGATGCCAAGATATGAATATTGAGAGTCAAAGCCAGCCCAGGGAGACAAATCTGAAAGACTCTTGTCTCCAATTGACCAGTAAAAACTAGAAGTAGGATATGGCTCAGGTGGTAAAGCCAAGGGAGAGCCAAAGACCCTGAGTCTGGAATAAGGGAAAGAAAAAACACAAAACCCCAAGTCTGATTTAGTCAGTAGTCATTCCCCCCACACTAAATTTCCTTTTCATTGTCAAGTCCATGATGAACATAAGGAATAGTTTCCCTACCCATCCCCAAAGCAGTTCAAATAACAAGTGGAAAAAAACAAAACATGAATTCTTTTTTCTCTTCTTTTCAAATGTAGCTTTTAACATGTCCTGTTTATTGATCATAAGGTTACTTAAGGGTCAGAAATGTATTATTTTCTTTTTTTTAATAATGTGCTGCCAAAAAAGACTCATGGAAATGCATACTTTACATAATGTTCTACAAAATAGACTCAGAAGCTTTGCTGTTACATCTAAGCTGATTCTCCCCGCCCATCAAAATCTCACTGGCCAAAGGGCATGTTGAGAATGGGAGGAGGCTGCAGTATTACTGCTCAGGGATTCCCCACATTTGCATCATTTTTTTTCCCTGCCTGGCAAAGATGACCTACTTGGCCCTTCTCCTTTTCTGTTTTCCCATAGAGTGCTTATGAGGAGGAGTCTTTAACTGAACCAAGATACCCAAAGCTTTCTTCAGCTAAGTGTGATGCTAGACTTCCAGCAATTGATCAAACATCCGTCAAGCAGAAACATAAAAATTCCATGACCCCAAAGAAACCAGAGAAGGCAGGACCCAGCAAACCCTCTCCAGGTCAGTGGCTGGTTTATTTCATTTCATCTCATCCAAAATTCCCATCATAAAACCTAGATTGCTAGTGGAACACTGGTGGTTCATGCCTATATTCCTAGCTATACTCAGGAGGCTGAGATCTGAGGATCAAGATTTGAAGCTAGCTTGGGCTGACAAATCTGAAAGACTTTTGTCTTTGAACAGCAAAAAGCTGGATATGGAGTTTATGGCTCCATCCTGGAGTGAAAAAAGCCAAGTGAGAGCACAAATCCTTGAGTTCATGCCCCAATGCTCACACACACACACACACACACACACACACACACACACCATATTAGTGGTATCCCAAATGGCTTACTCCAGGTTTTGGTTGAAAGGCTAATGGTCCTATGCAATTGGTAAAATTAAGTTCAGAGCAGAGTGTAACAAGTCAAAGAGGCATCAATTAATGTGAAGCAACTCTCTCCCACTGACCACATTCTCTTCCCAATCACCAGCTTTGTGTGGCTACTCCCCAGAGTTTCTGCCTCTTTATCTTCCTTGCCCTTCCTTGCGGGGAGGAAGGGGGAGAATGAAGGCATTTGGCCCCAGGTATCAATTTTTATGACTCAAGCAAGAGAAAGCTTTCAAAAGCAGCTGAATGGCATAATTGACTAGCCAAGAAGAAGAGTAATAAAGTCCTCTAGTCCTTGGTTTGTCCTCTCTGGGAATAAAGGGATTTGATAAATCCACCCTTTTGTGCAATTTGGTAAATAATTCACTCTTTAACTGGCCTTTGAAGTGAAGACCATCTTCCACTTGGGGGCAAGACTGACTTTCTAGACTGCAGAAGGAACCTAAACTCTATGGGAAAGCTCGTCATCAAAGCCAATGTGTGTATCTTGAATCCTCTGGGAACTGGATACACGAGTTGGGGTGACTAGTCAGAAAGGTCTGCCTTCTGGGAAGGGATCCAAGCTAACTGCTGAAGAATTGGTAAATAGCTTTCAATTCATTAAAATCCCAATCACAGCTATTTCCTAATCCTAAATAGCTCCTGTCACACAACCACCCATCCAGTTTAAGTCTGAATGCATTTGTACAGAATGTCAGCTTTCACTCCGATTAGCCACCTACACTGATTGCTTTAATGAAGTCAAACCCAAATAGAGTTCGAAAATGATGTCCACTAAGGCAAAGCCCCAGCTCTTGCTCCTTATTTAAGCAGGGAAAGTAGTGTCCAAGTTCATTTCTCATTGTAAGATTTGTAGAAGGAATTAGGGTTTTAATTCAAGTGGAATAGAGCAAATGTGGTCATTCTACAACTATTTCAAAACCAACCTTGTAATTTATTAAGCAGAAGATGTTTTTCAATTGCAAGTCTAAATACTGCCAATTCCATTCATTTAATATAATTTTTAGTCTGCTTGCTAAAACCTGGTAGCTGTTTGCTCTGTCATCTGTGGAGAAAAATCATTAAAATGATCCATCGAATTGAGGTCCACTCAATGGTTTAGTTTGTCTGATTAATACAGATGTTTTTCAGACTGAGAAAAGTCTATATGGAACTTACCACACTGACAAAAAGGAGAGGATAATTAGTTCACTTTCCATTCTATAAGACAACAAATGTGAAGAATTACCAGGCTGGGGGAAAAAAATTGAGGTTTAGGCAGAAGAGCCAGATAGGCAGAAATCAAATGAGGGATGTGACGTGTAGTAAACTCATTTACAAACAGCCAGCTTTATCATCAAATTGTGCCTCTAATCTATATTCAAGCCCTATGCAACTGACTGTCCAGCTAGCATAGTCCTGGGTGGGGATATCTGAGCTGCAAAACTGAATTGAAGAGGGTCATAGAGGTAGGGGTATAGCAATCCCAGTTGCAAACAGCTAGGTGTGGTGACATATGCCTGTAATCCCAGATACTCAAGAGATGAAGGTAGAAAAATCATGAGTCAGAGAAAGCAGTGAGACCCTATTCACAAACTTAACAAACAAACTTAAAAGCAAAAAGAGTGCTTGTTTAGCATGCATAAAACTTTGGATTCAATCCCAATTGTGCTTGCACACACACACACACACACACACAATTTTTTTTAAAGAAGCTAACTAAAAGCAAAGCACTAGGTTGCTGTGATCCACCCTTTAGCCTGTGTAGACTCGCCTTCTTGGTCCCTGACTAACGTAGCCAAATAAGCCTAGAGACATGGCAAAAGTTCAAGCTGCGTCTGTTCCGGAGAAGCTGAAATGGGGGTTGGTGACAATGCATGATTCAGATAAATAACCTGCTGTTACAAAAAAAAAAAAAGAGGATTTGGTTCCTGAGTTATCTGGACACTGATCTAATTCACTAGCTCAGTTTCCTGCTTTTCTTCATCTTCATAGAGAAACATTTTCCTACAGCATTTTTTGGGGTGATCCAAAGTTTGATAGTCTATCACCAAAACTTTGTTTCATGCTTGACCCAAGTGAAACTGAAGCACAGAACATCTGCCTGATAGGCTAGCCTACCTTCCCCCACTGTGCTACAAAACACCATAGCTGGGGGGTGTAGCTGCACTTGCTGGAAACGCACGTGACAATAATCCATGTCATAAAATGAGATTTTGCTACTAAGTGGACTGCCACCCAGAACCTGGAAACAGCCAGGCGCCGGCCGCTCACACCTATAATTCTAGCTACATAGGAGACTACCGAGAATTGTGGTTCAAAGCTAGCCCAGGGAGAAAAAAATCACTGAGAAATCTCCAATTAACCAGCAAAAAAAAAAAAAAAAGCAGAAGTAGAGATGTGGTAAGCACCAGCCATCAGAAAAAAAAAAGTGGAGCCAGAAATCAGGGCCCTGAGTTCAAGCCCCAATATTAGTACAAAGGGGAAATAATAATAAATAGAATAAAATATAAAAATAAATAGACCTCTCTGTGCTCTCACAAATAGATTCACAACTGAGAAGACATCAGATTCTCACCATTCCTTACACTCCATTAAAGGAGATCCCATTTAAGTTCAAGTGGATGCATTCTGTATCAAGTTGATATGAGTCACTCCTGGAGGAGTTGAATCACAGTGTTCCTCCTCCTTCTCTCTTGTGGTGGGGGTCCGGGTAAAGGTACCAAGTTTATGGACAAATGCTTTGAAATCAAAATGCTTTCTTCAATTAGCATCTGAACCCTTTTTTTGTTTGCTGTATATCCTATGGCAAGGAATTTCTCTTTGCCTTAGTTTTGTCACCTATAAAATGAAGAGAGGGAATAAAAACAACCTCCCTTCAGGGATTGCAGTGAAGACTCTATGATTAAAATGTATGTATGTCCAGCCCTGACCCTGTAACCATGTATTCAATTATAGCATTATCATTCTAGCACTTGAGAGCAGCATTTGGTAAGGATCGTGGATTACAACAGTGTGCCTTTCTTGATTTAAGGCTATGCTCTCCCGAACCAGGTGTTCACACTTTGTAATCCTAGTGACTCAAAATGAGATCTGAGGATACTGGTTTGCAGCTAGCCAGGGCAGGAAAGTCCATTCATCTCTTATCACCAATTAACCAGCAAGAAACCAGAAGTGGCGGTGTGGCTCAAGTGGTAGAGCTCCAGCCTTGAGAGAAGAAGTAAAGTGAGAGCAAAAGGCCCCAAGTTGAAGCCCCAGTAGCTGCCCTCTCCAAAAAACTGTTATCCTCCCTCTCCTTTTCTTTTCCCCTTGACAGTAATCAGAGATGGAATTTTAAGATTTCTATCGTAGATCTAAGTATAGATATTTTTACCACACTTGTGAGTTTCCAAAACCAAGCCGGAGATACATTTTGTCTCTAAGAAGATATGGAAAATGCAGGCAGTGTATCAAGACCCAGCTGGGACTGATGTTCCATTGACTCCTAAATCTTCCTTCACTGGCAAGGTGTGGGATGGTGAGTGAGTCTAGCAGAACAGCACATATTTCTGAATTCTGCACGGATGGGTGAATTGCAGCGTTGTGAAAAGGCCTAGCAAAGTGCAGAGGTACTGGGAAGGTTGAGGGGCTGTGGTAGCCCCCCAGTCCTCCCAGTTTTCCACCTTTCCCACTCCCAGCCTGGTAGAACCATGTCCTGTATTTGTGGGGTTCTAGCACCTGGAACCCTGAGGTGCTCTCTACCCCAGGATCAGACAGACACGTGGGAAACCAAATGTGGGTTTCTCCTGTTCGCTTCTCACCTGCAGCTTGGGCAGAGTCCCTACTAGTTATGTTCTGGGAAAACGGATCTGGATGAAGTCCTGGGAGCCTGCTTCCAAAATCTTGCCCTTTAAAGCAAAGCCAAGCGTTCCGAAATTATCCTCACTTATTATTGGGTTCCACGTTAGTCATTATCAGATTGGGATGGGTGGGAGGAGTCAGGCCTGTTGGGCCTCCTGGCAGCTTATTGTGAAGATGCCTTCTTGTGAAACTCAAGCAAAAGCCCTGAATTCAGCCTTGAGGAGACAGAAATCTAAAATAACTGTGGTCTCTCTTGGATTGGGGAAACATTTATTTAAAGAGCATCCTGAAAGAGGAATTTGAGGGCAAATCTTAAATCTTTATAATTTGCCTTGCAAATAAATTCTAGTGAAGATTTTTCTCCCTCACAAAGGCCAAGCAAGATGAATGGGGTTTCCTAGCAAGTTCAGTTGGTACTCAACAACTTTCCAAGATATCTGTCCAAGAGAGAAAAAAAATGAAAACAAGATAGATGAATACTCCCGTTTTTATAGAGAAAAATCATAATTCTTTAGTTTAAAAAAATAGGTTTTTGGGTTTTTTTTACTAATGCTTTTGAGACAGAGGGGGCTTTGGTGGGAGTGGAGTGGGGGATCCCAGAGCCCAGATTGCAAAGTCCTGGCTTATAATCCTGGCTCTATTATTTTACAGTCTCAAAATAAAAGCTGGTAACTTCTTTTGAGCTCCAATTCCTCATTAGTAAAGACCCTGGGTATCAGCTGGAGCTTAGGCACAGGTAATTCCCAGGTCCTGCTGGCTTGTTCCCAACGTCACCTGATGCTCCAGGGCTGGCAACTCTATAAGAAAA